TGATAATGTCGATGATAGGCCGTCCTATAGGTTGCTCCAGCAGCACTGGATCCTTTTCGCTTCCGCCTGGGTCCAGTATCGTCAGCACACCATCTTCACCACCAATCAGCAACTGATCTATTTTACTTCATTCATTAATCACCCATTGGAAACGTGAATAAAGATAGAACGTGCAACGGGGCAGCTCGGCTTGGGGGGAGGGTCTTTTGCTTGTTCCTGTTAGACTGCACGTCTCACTCTGATGATACCTGTAGGCTCAATTGTTAATGAAATTCATGCTACTGCATAATTGTGCAGGAATCTGCACAGAAAGCATGGGCAGTGATCCGTAGGAAGTATCAAAATGCCCCCACCAAGCCGAATTGCACTCGCATGATGCATATCTGAGGGCAGTGCGGGCGTTGTTGCGATGGTTGAGAGAGTCCAAATGAAGAGGGCAGAGATATACACTCTGTATCCAGGGAGTAGACTGGTCGCAATTGCGTACTTAGGAACTGCGTGGTAGTGGCTTTGGAAAACTAGTGAATTCTGCTAACGAAAAGTTCCACTTTCATTTGGAACCTAATACCTCCCGCTTATTGAGTGGGAGCGAGACGTAATCGACTAATACTAGGGAGGAGCAGAGATCCTCGAGGCCGCTGTCTTGAGCTACACTGAGTCCGCACTTATGACCCCCCCCCTTTATTGTAAGATACAGAGTGTAGGTAAGACATAGCATGTGACACACGTCGTCACAGAACTAGGTAGCCGGCGCTACTTGGCTTGGTTGGGGCAGCGAATGGTACAGGCCACCTTGTGAAAACCTGTAAATTCCTGTGGTCGAAGTGGCTCTCTCGCACCAATTCGCCGCTTCACAGAACTATGCAGGCATAATCAAAATGAGACGTGTTATTTAACATTAACTAACAAAAGGTACTAGCGAAAGTGCAAAATGTCCCCTCCAAGACGAACAGCGCAACCTGCTGACGCTCCACATTGCACTCATGGTCAGATATGAACTGTACTTTCACTTGCAGTACAAAAGAACTTGCAGAGTTCAGAGTACTTGTGAAGTGCATTCACAATGAATGCGCATGAGGAAACAGAGCTATCATTATCATTGACTTAATATCTCATTTTAATAGTACACACTAGCCATATGATTAGGCCTCGGCACGCAGAATACAGCAGGACAGTTTGGCTGCGCCGGGGAGGGGGGGGGGAGGAGAAGACATTTTGCACTTTTGCTAATTTCCTCCGACATCTCGTCCCATCTAGAGAGTCATTTCGTAAGCTTACAAGAGTTGACAGGTTTTACCATGGTGGCCCACGAGCTTGCTCCAGCTTCACAAGAGTTCACAGGTTTCACCAGAGTGAGACTTGTAAACCGGAACTAGTGAAGCAGCGAAAGTGCGAAATGACCCCCCCCCCGTCGCCGAACTGCGTCTAGCCAGCTTTCAAAATATTACCCTACTCGAGAAAGAGAAAATTTTCGGGAGGGTGGTATTTCTCTACTCGAATATTTTCCTACTTAAAAACTTACCTCGAGTTTCGATGAGCGATCCAACGGTGATACATGAGGCGTTCGGATAGAGATTAGAGTACCATTCACTTATGCGGAATAGGGACATTTAGCTGAGCTGATTTTTGTTCAGCCGAAACATTGACATTGGCAGAAACGTGCGTGAATTTACTATACTACGGGCGCTGTTGGTAGTCATGGTTACCTGGGGAAACCATCGTTCCACCTTTTCAACTCAAGTGCTATTGACGATAATCCCTTGAAGCCACTTCAGAGAAGTTTAATGTTGCCCTTTATAATCCTTGGCATTGACGTCATTTCTAAAATAGGCACATGAAAAAGGCCAGTATTGTGAAGAATAGCTGCAAGAAGCAGTTATTGAACGTCTAATTGTAAGGGCAATGCGCATAGTTTAGGAGTATTCTGCTATGTTGCAATGAATTACACTCCTTATCCCTGAGCCAGAGTAGGCGTGGCATTTGAACATGGCACGGAATTGGTTACTCGTGGAATATTCCAGTCTGGGACAACTGTCATCTTGTTCTGTGTTGGACGCGTCAAGATGAAAATATCTCACCAGAAGCATAGACACCTTCAGGTTAAGTTGAAACATGCGGCCACGCCTACCCGATCTCAGGGATTTCGAGTATAGTTCCTTTCTGCCCCTCCAAGCCGAACCGCGTCGGCAACATGCGCCATAAAAAATATGAAACTGTTGTATTTTACTAAATTTACTAACACTCACTTACTGACAGTTTTCTTGGGATGTGTCATGGCTCTTACATGTACCCGTTTATGGGGAAAGTAATCGTCATATGGTTAGAGTAGTGTGGGGACTGTTAGTGGAAATTAGAGATTTTTTTTGTCATTCCGGTTTTTGAAGTAGTAATTCCAGCTCTTCTTCCCCCCCCCCT